TGTGTGTGTGTGTGTGTGTGTGTGTGTGTGTGTGTGTTGTGTTTTCTTTTGAGGTGGAATCTCACATAGCCTAGGTTTCTTCTAACTCTTATATAGGTGAAAATGACCTTGAATTTCTGATCCTCCTGCCTCCACCTTCCCAGAGATGGGATTAAAGGCAAGTGCTATCACACCCAGTTTATGCAGTGGTAGGGATCAAAGCCAGGATTCTGTTCATGGTAGGCAATTGGATTACATCCCTAGCTACATACAGGGTTCTAATTTATGGAGATATCTGAGTGATGACACACAGAATTTACTGTTTATGTTTCCACAGATCCCCACAGAGAGGCATAGATCTGGTGAGGAAGCAAAGGGGAGGGAGGACAGGACATAGGCTGACATTCTTTGTTGAGGTTTCAGTAACAAAGACAGACCATAAAGGGTGAAAAGCTCAGCGGGGGTTAGCTTGAAGAATAAAAAAGTGTGCTCTGGGGCACAGGGGCTGGTACAATTCCAGGTTGGTATTTTAGAGCAGGGAACATATTGTCTTGATGTGTGAATGTTGCTCAAGGAGATGATTTGGGAGAAGAGGACCACCGTGATGGGTGAGCACCAAATAGGGGAAAAAGCACAGATTCTAAGCAAACCAAATTCAAAGGAATACCTCTTCCCTCTGTAGGAATGAGCCTAGGGATGTTGCTTCGGTAAGAAATTAGCTACGTGCACATATCACAGTTCCCCTGTGGAGGTCAGAGGACAATATGCAGGAATGAGTTCTCTCCTTCCTGTACTTACATGCTGCGACCTAGGGACAGAACTCAGGTAGTTGGCAAGCACCTTTACCCACTGAACCATCTTGCTGACCTCTGACATCAGCTGTATAGTGCTTCCTTGGGGCTGGTAGTTATATTTAGAGCAACCCTGTCCAATAAAAACACAATGTAAACTACAAAAGAAACAGCACTTTCTAGTAGCCACATTAAAATGAGTAAAAAGAAAAAGATGAAATTGATTTTAGGAGTATATTTGATTTAATCTAATATAGCCAAGATATTACTCCAACATTATATCTACATATAATCATTGACATACCTTATATTCCTGATTTCATACTAAGCCTGAAAACCTGAGTGTGATTTTGGAATCACCACATGATGAAGAGAGAGAAAAGGGACCTCCTTCCCCCACTTGGATGCTGTGGCATGGGTATACCCATCCTTACATCTCATGTCATCACATGCACACAAGATAAATAAAACATAATAAAAATGTTTTAACATTTTTATAACATAAAAGTTAATCTAATCTATATTATGCATTTTAAAAAGTTTCTGTGTAAGCGAGAACTGCACATAGTCATCTCTGTCCTTCATTCCAGGGCTTCTGGACTCCACATTGCTGTGTCTTCTACTCATTGTCTCACTAGGCTTCCATTAAAGTAATTTCTTGGTCACATTCTAATCCAGAACTCTTTAAGAAAGAGTCGATCTCCAACCTCACTCATGTTGTTGGGAATTCATTTTCTTATGGGTGGATGTCAAGGGTCTCTGTAGTCCTTGGAGATGTTATTAGCCACTGAGGCTGCCCACTGCCCACTGGCCATGTGGGCCAGAGTCTCTCTATGTGAGCTGTGAGGATGGAACTATACTCCTCTTTGTCATACTCTACCGGTTGTAAGGAAGTGAACTCCCAGGCAGAGTGTGAGTCTAGGGTCCCTGTTACAAGCAAGTTTTCCCACCACCCTGATCCCGCAGCCACACCAGCCCCAAATAACACACAGAGACACTGTATTAGATATAAATCTATTGGCCTGTTACTAGCATTTCTTATTGGCTAGCTCTGTCTTAAATATTAACCTATTTCTATTAATCTAAGTATTTCCTACATGGTCTTATCTTATCAGAGAGAGGGTTCGGGGTTCTTCTCTCTTGATCCTACATTTTTAATCTCCTCCTACCTCTCCTCGAAACCTCCTTGTCTCCTAATCCCACCTATCTTGCTCTCCTATTGGCCAACAGGGCTTTATTCATTAACCAATAAGAGAAACATATTTACAGAATGACATCTCCCATCATCTCCTCTTTTCTGTCTAAAATAAAAGAATGGTTTTAACCTTAACATAGCAAAATATATAACAAAGCAGTTATCAAATAAGAACCACAGTTAACAATATTTAGTCCATTAGCATTTAGCAAGATTTAGAGAAAATATTCCATCATCTATCCTATCTTTGTGAGTCTAAAGTCCTATATGTAACTTATTTTTAATTCTAAGGAAAACTATAACCATAACTATCTGTTTTCAATTCCCTCAAAGACCATAGAAGGATAATATATAAATTCTAGAGATGACAGAGACAACCCACTGACTGGTCAGTCATCTGAAGTTCTTCTGTAATGTTCCATCTTCAGCCTATAGGGCATAGTGTGTCTGTCAGACTCCTCAGCAAAGCAGGAAACTTTAAACTGTCCACTTGTATTAGCACTTTGTCAGTCACTTTTCTCTGTGCAGAATGTCTGGCAGGTCCTTCCATGAAGCAGGAATCTCGAAGCAATGTCCATCTTGTATCAGAAGTCACTTTCCTCTGGGTCATGTATGTACAGTTTATATAGCACAAAGTCAAACAGTCCATACAAGAGCAGTACCTTGCCCTAATGGCTAGTTCTGACATATTGGGAGTAAACTCCATAACGAGTTTCTTTAATGTCCATCTTCCTTTCTGATGCAGGTGGTGTTGCCAGGAGCAATGTTCCTCATTGTTAAGAAAAAACCTAAACCATTTTAAGTGCCATATTCTGTAGGTCTTTGAAAGGTTTGAAGAATATTTATCCATCTCAAATATATCTCTGTATATCCAGAAAACCTAACTAACTTGACTCTAAGTTTTGACTATCATAGGTAACTATCTATAATCTGTGGAATTGTCTCAATAATTGCTAGAATGAAGCTGAGTGAAGAACCATTTTCAGATTTCAAGGACAAGAACAGCTATTTAGTTTTTCCTACCAGTTTAGAGAAAGTTCCCTTGGATGTATGTTGGACTGGAGAGAAGATAACAAGATAACAAGGAATGAAAGGGTGTTTTAACGAGAGGGAACAGCAAATGCAAGGGTTCAAGGAAAGCCAAGAACTTGGCAAAGAATTAAGTATGACTTAGTCACAGCAGGTATATGGGAAATTGGGGACGATGGAAGGATGGGCTTCAAGGTTACACTTGCAGAAATAAAATCAGACAAGCTGAGCTAAAGTCTCCAGTGTCTAATGATTTCAGAGAGGTGGCTCAAAATGACACCTGTTTTGACAGATCTTTAGTCTGAAGAAGCTGCCATTTCAAGAACTCCCAGGTTAGAGCTGGGGGGACGGCTCAGCAGACCTCAGTTCACTCTCACACTGGGCTTCTCACAGCCACCTCTAACTGCAGCTCCAGGGGATCTGATGCTATCTCTTGTCTCAGAGCACCTGCACACATGTGCACATAGCTACGCACAGACATATAAATAAACATAAATCTTAAATAAAAACAAAACCCAACTCAGGTAGGGGGCTGATGGCTGATGACTGACCAGGGAAAGGTGCCACTGCTAAGCCTGATTGAATTGGATCCCCTGGGCTGTCATGGCAGAAAAGAGAGGCATGTCATGTGTCCATGCTCACCACTACCCAATTAAAAAACTGAAGAAGCCATTAGTACTAGGACTTGGGAAGCAGAGGCAGAGGCAGTGGTAGGTGGATCTCTGTGACCTTGAGGCTCACCTGAGCTACATGGTGATCCCCTGTCTCAAACAACACCACCATCAAAAAGATAAGAGTCTGCTGGTGCCAGACACTTAATAGCCTGAGATAGGGGGATCACAAGTTTGGGTCAGCTTGGGCTATAGAGTAAGATCTTGCAATCCCCTTCAAAATCTACTGTCATTGTAGCCCAGTGGTAGAGTCTTATGTGTTCGAGGTCCGAATTGTATTACCAGTACTAAAAAGAAACGAGGAAAACAAAACAGAACTTGTTGGCATCACCTCAAATGCAGTTCATGTTTCTGCTCTTGCTTGGGCTCACTCCTCCACTCCTTTGAGCCTCCTCCCCATCTTTCTCTGAACTAGGGGATCACCTCAGCACGGGTGGTTCCTGGTGCATACCCATTTGATCTGGCAGACTCAGGAAACAGATGCATCCTCCCTGTCCCAGCACAACTCACTGGGTTTCTTTATTTCTTTTTTTTTTTTCCTCACCAAAGTCAGATCTTGGTCTCAATCAACACAGAGGAAAAAAGTAATTACTGAAGTATTACTGTTATTATTATTTCCCGCTAGGAACTGCCAAATTCCTTTCTTATGTCTGATTTTCTCCTTGGTCAGGGGAGGAAATCTAAAAACAGTCCTGTGTTGGCTAAATAATTATTAATTATTTTGAATCCTGTTTGCACTGAGGATCTCTTTGAGGTGTTAATGGAGCAGATAAACTTCTCACACTCACCAAGTGTGATATAGGTTAAGATTATGTGCTCAACAGAATCCACAGACCCCAATTAGAAAACTCTGCTCTGCTGGGTATGGTAGCTCAGACCCAGCACCCGAAGACTTGGCAGGTAGAGGTGGGAGAATCAGGAGTTCAAGTCATCCTTGGCTACCTAGTAAATTCAAGACTAGTCTAGGCAACATGAGACTCTGTCTCAAATATAACAAACCAAACAGACAAATAGTAAGGAAGAAGAGATCTCCATGCTAACACTTAGCAGAAGGAAGTTAGAACAGCCCTATGACTATCTTAACAATATCCAGAAATAAGTGGTGATAGCAAGAACAAGGATACAAGGCTAATGTTTAAAAGTCAATCATTTATGTGTCAGCAGTGAACAAGCAGAATTTGAAAATAAAAACACATTGCTGGACTAGTGAGATGACTCAGTAGGGAAAGTCACTTGCCACCAAACCTGATGGCACAAATTCGATCTCCAAAAACCCCATGGTTGAAGGAGATAACTCTCACAAGTTGTCCTCTGACCCACCCCCCGTACACAAATAAATAAATGTTAAAAACCCATATTACCATTTACCTTGTGCAGGGGCCATGCTAATCTTCTCTGTGTCGTTGCAATTTTAGTATATGCACTGCTTAAGCGAGCACCATATTACCATTTACATTAGCACTCCTGAAGCACTTTTTAGAAGATAATGAGGCCTAGGCTTTTCTTTTTTTTTTTACTTATTTTACATTTTGCACATGGATATTTGGCCTGGATGTCTATATGTACCCATGTATGTGTCTGGTTCCCTCTAGGTCAGATCCCCTAGAGTTGGAGCTATGGACGGTTGTGTTACCACATGGGTCCTGGGAACTGAACCCGGTCTTTACAGGAGCAACAAGTGCTTTTAACTCCTGAACCAACTCTCCAGCCCCTCTAGGGTAGTCTTGAACTCAAGATCCTCCTACTTCATTGTTCTCAACTCTGTCTTCCCTCTCTACCTTCTTTTTCTTTCCTTCCTTCTCTCTTTCTTCTTTCCTTCTTTTATAATTTATTGAGTACACCACTAGAGTGCAGCAGGCAGGATGACTTGGACTCCTGATTCTCCCACTTCTACCTGCCAAGTCTTGGGGTGCTGGGACTAGAAGAGCAGAGTCTCCTAACTGGGGTCCATGGATTCTGTTGAGCACTCACATCTTGGAGAGGTGTATACACATCTTAACCCTGTGTCATACTTTGTGGGTGTAAGAAGTTTATTAAAGCCTCAAGGAGATCCCCAATGCAAGCAGGATTCAAAATAATTAATATATAACATTTGATTACCATTTTAATGTCAGTGAAGATTTGTAGTATGTTATATTTCTTTTTTTAATTTGTATTCATTTTACATACAAACCACAGTTCCTCCTCCCTCCCCTCCTCGCTCTCCCCCACCACCTCCACCAACTCACCCTAGCAATGTCTTATCTTTCATTTCTGGTGATAGTAATTTGTGTCTTCTCTCTCTTTTTTCATGAGTTAGCCTGGTAAGAAGCTTGTTGACATTGTCGACATATTCAAAGGAAGGCTTTTGATTTGGTTAACTTACAGTTCACATTCATAGATGGGAAGACTCAGTGCATCTTTCTGTTGCATATGCATGCACTCATGCATTTGTGTATAAGCCTAAGTGCTTGTGAACACATTTCACTTTTTGGCCCTGTAACCAACCCGTTACTGAATTCACCCAACTGAAAAGCCATGAATGAATGAATAAATAAATAGATAAATAAATAAATAAGTCATAGCCAAGGAAGTCAGGAAAGGTCCTTCCATGGACGTGGACATCATAGACTCTAGACTGACTTGCTCTGAGGGTTCGCCATCAGGACTCCTGCTCTCCTGGCCAGGCTGCTCTCTGCAGCATATGTAGCTGCACCAGCTGGTGGGAAACACTTTCATTACCCTTTGTAGACTTGTTCTTACTGTGTCTGACACTTCAGGTCTCAGCAGGCTTTTGTCTTTCAAGAGAAGAACTGAAAGTTCACCTGCACAGCCAGCTCTAGTGAGCCCATGACTTTCATTTCCTTTTTATTCTGGGGAGAAAGTACTGAGCATGGCTATTTCACCAAAAGTTGAGGCTGTCTAGGCTTTGTTCACACCCCTGGCTGTCATCATCAAAATCAACTTATGATACAGATTTCTAGTCCCACCTCAGACTTCCCCTGACAGAAGTATGGAGGACAGGAGCCTATAATTTGTCCAGTTCTCCCAAATGGTTCTGATGAGTTTACAAGGTTTAGGAAGCAGTGGGTGGTGACAGTCTCCTTGTCCCTTTCTAGCTTGAAGTGTTCTCTTTCCTCCTTCTGTTTGATTACATCCCCTTCTCATGCTTTCCTTCCTGCAACACTGAAACATACCTTTATCATTCATGTTTCTTACATGACAACACACACACACACACACACACACACACACATCCTTCCTTGTCTGGCTAAGCTATTCAAGGCTGGGAATTTTGCTTTATTAGTATTTTCTTTCATGTACTCAGGACTGTCACACAGTGTTGAGCAGGTTTTTCACAGTACAAAGATGAGCATGTTGGATAAGTAGGACTGCTGTGGGCCTTGAACTCACAGAGATCTGCCTATCTCTGCCTCCCGAGTGCTGGGATTAAAGGCATACATACCCTATCCCTAGACCAAATTTTACTTCTAGATTAAGTCCTCCTAGAACCACAGCCCATTGCTTCCTCTCCAGAGACTGCAGCACCTGGCTGGCACCTTGAGCAGTATTTTATGTACTGGAGCTATCTCCTTCTCCCTCCCCACTCTTCCCTGCCCCAGAGCCATCATACTCATCTTGTATCTGAGCAGTCTAGTGGACTTTATTAGGTGAATGAATAGTGTTTACACAGGCGTGCCATCACTGGGGAGGCAAAGATGGGAGAATTGCCACAGGCCAAGGGCAGCCTGAATCACACAGAGAGAACCTTGCCCTGGGCTCCTTCAGCTCAGGTAAAGGTGCAGTAACTCTTACCTCCTGCATCAGAAATGGGAGGTGCAGTTTCAGAAATCTTGCTAATTCAGTTAATTATATGTATATAAATAAGGGCTGGGATGCAGTTCAGTGAAAGTGCTGTCATATCACATAATATATTTATTATTACAAATGAGTCATATATAATTTTATAATGTGTATCATATAATAAATGTGTGATTATGTATCATAATATATAATTATCTGGGGCTGGAATGATAGTTCAGTACTTAACAGCCCTACTGTTCTTGTAGAGGACTAGGGTTCAGTTCCCAGTGCTCATGTGGCTGTTCATAATCATTCGTAACTCTACTTTCAGGGCACCTGACTTCCTCTCCTGGCCTTTGAGGGCACTAGGCATATATAAGGTACATAGACATGCAGGTGAAACACTCATACACATAAAAATAAATTTTAAATAAGCACAAAGAAATTATAAAATAAATAATATGTAATTAGTTATCATGTACTATAAATTGCTGGAGAGTAAAGGCCTATTACTGGCCAGCACCAGTAATAAAAATAAATTTTAAATAAGCACAAAGAAATTATAAAATAAATAATATGTAATTAGTTATCATGTACTATAAATACATTGTCTTGTATGTGAATGCCAATATGAACCTTATTATATATGTAACTGGTATATACGGATATACTTATACGTCAACACTGTATATACCAGCTTTTACAAGCAACACCACGCCACGTTAAAGAGATACTGGCATACAACACTTTGTGCCCTGACAGCATTTGAATGTGTACAACCCTGAGTTGGTCTGGGGGTCGATGGAGTCCTGTTTCTGTTCTGCCAAAACAGCATGCAGTTCTCATGTTGCTCCATGTCTGAAACTATCTTCCAGGAGGGAGATGAGGGGGAAATCAAGGGGATGGAGAAAGGCTCTAGGCATGCCACAACTTTTGGAACTGCCCCAGATTGAACCCTGATCTTGAACTCAGATTGACCCATTACCCCTGCTAAAAGTTGCAATCAAGAAGACACGCTAATTTTATATAAACTTGGAGTTGGCAGTTTTTAAAATATAAACGACTAGAAAGGACATAGGCTTTGGGGGCCATATAGTGTCTATCAGAATTACTCAACTTTGCTGTTGCTGTATGGAAATAACTAGAGACACTATATAAATGAACAAGTGTGGCTATGTTCCAATAAAATTTTACTTGCAAAAATGATAGGGCTGGGGATATAGTTCAGTTGATAGAATGCTTGCTTAACATGCATGAACACTAGGGTTTATTCCTAGCATTGCATAAAAATAGGTGTGTTGGTGTATGCCTATAATCCCAGCTTTTGGGAGGTAGAGAAGCAGGCAGATATCTGAGTTCCAGGCCAGCCTGATCTACATAGTGCTTTCCAGGCCAGCCAGAACTACATAGTAAAGCCCTGTCTAAAAAAAGAAAGAAATGTTGATTAAGAATTGAGGGGATGGAGAGATGGCTCAGAGGTTAAGAGCATTGGATCCTCCTGCAGAAGACTCAGGTTTGATTCCCAGCATCCACACAGTGGTTCACAGCCACCAGTAACTCCTGTTCCAGAGGATCTGATCCCTTCTTCTGAAGTTCACAAGAATGAGGTATACATGTGGCAAACAGACATACCTTAAGGCAAAACATTCATACAATAAAAATAAGACTATATATATAGTCTTACAAGAAGTAAAAGGCTCCTGTGCCTCAAACATGGCAGGCAGATGTTCTGCAACTGAGCTGTGTCCCAGCCAAAGGGCATGCTTAGGTACATTGTAAGGATACATCATTTTTAACACCTTGAAGTCAGTGGTGTTGACTAAGCAAGTATACCTTAGCAAACATCAGGGTGAATTTAGAGTCCTACAACATATCTTTGAAAGGGTGCTGTGATACATATTCTATTGAGATTTTTTTTTACTCTTTTAAAAAAAGCTGTGTGATTCTGGGTAAGTCACCCTCTTTTGGGGGTGGGCCAGGGTTGCATGTAGCTAAGGCTGGCCATAAGCCAGCCTGATGTACTTAAGGGTAGCTTTAACATCTTGTTCTTCCTGCTACTGCTTTCCGGGAGCTGGGATCACAGGCTTGTGTTAACACACCACTTTCCTTAGAATGTGAATGTCTTAAGAATGTTTTTAGATATACTTATTGTTATTTTATGTATGTGAATGTTTGTCTGTATCTGTGTATGTGTGCCACATGCTATTTGCTTGGTACCTGAAGAGGTCAGAAGGTGGCATCAGAGTCTCTGGAGTTTTGAATGGTTATGAGCCACCATGTGGGTGCTGAGAACTGAGCCTAGAGCCTCTGTGAGAGCAGCAAGTGCTTCTAACCTGGGGGCTATTTCCAGGCCCCCACTTTTCCTTTTTGAGACAGTTTCATCTACTACAGAGGGGGAGCCACAACTTTTTCTCAGAGCTGTGGTTCTCATGCCAGGGAGCAATAAATAAAAGATAATAATTAAAGCTGAAACACATAGAAATGAATTGAAAACAAGAAATAGAAGGTATGTTTTAACCTCCGCCCCCCCCTTCTCATTTGCAGGAGGCTGCCTTTCCACAGGTACTATTTTGAAATTTTATAATATGCTGTACAACTAACACACAGTTTTTCATGATGCTGATTTGCTTTGGGAGCTAAATACTTCCTTGTAAAT